TCATATGACGCACACCTGCACACTTGCTAGCGTGTTCCACTCTTCGTTTTCCGAATGCCAGGAAGTATTCTTGACTCGCTTCTGAAGCAAGATGCTCGGCAGACATGTGCTACCAAGCAAGCGTACTCGCGATTGAGAAACACTCTCGGATTGACTCGGTAACAAGCCCCTCCCCCCATGTGGAATATTACTGGACTCTGCCATTGACAGTATTCTTAAAGACAATAATTCTGCTTGGTCTCGGTTCCAACCAGTTTTACCTGGGAGTGTTATTTTAGCTATTTTAACTAGTATTGTCTACCTTTGTATTATTACCTTGTTGTTTTTAACCATTTTTATAGATAGATCTATTTATTTGAAAAAAATGTATGCAACAAAACTTTGGAAGTAAAATATGACATACAAAGAAAAAAACTTCATAACAATGTATGCATCCAGTAAATATAGGAATATTAGCATGTTATAGCAAATATCATAAAGCTCTTAAACATTATAATAAACTATTATTTACTCTAAATTAAACATGTCCTGTGCATCACAGAAGACTAGATAATGACATGGAGGCCCTCCAAAAGGAAAATGGTAGATAAAAAGCTATTTGGTTCGAGAAGGGTCGTGTTTCCTAGACAAGGGGGAAAAGGGTAACACAATCTCTTTGGAAATGGACTGTACTTGTATAGCGCTTTATCCAGTCTTTAAGACCCCTCAAACGCTTTACATACTACATGCCGTTCACCCATTAACCCACTAACATGCATACACATTCACATACCGTTGGCCATGCCATCGGGAGCAACTCAGGGTTAAGTATCTTGCCCAAGGATACATCGACATGTTGACTGCATGAGCTGGGATCGAACCCACGACCTTCTGGTTGAAAGACGACCGCACTCCCTCGCAGCCACAGTCGCCCCACTTTGTGAGTGAAGTCATGAGGTCTCGTGTGGGTAGAATCTGATCGGTGGCTGTGCCTGCTGCTGTGGTCCTGGATCATAAGTCCTGGATGGATATCCTCGTGGATTCATCTTATTATTATAGACACATGCATTTCCAAACATTTGGACTACCTATGTTGTAAATGTATTATCTTTTCAATTTACACACGGCATCTATTGCACATCTGTCCGTCCTGGGAGAGGGATCCCTCCTCTGTTGCTCTCCCTGAGGTTTCTCCCATTTTCCCCTTTAAACTGTGGGTTTTCTCCGGAAGTTTTTCCTTGTACGATGTGAGGGTCTAAGGACAGAGGGTGTCGTATTGTCATACTGATATTCTGTACAAACTGTGAAGTCCACTGGGACAAATGTAACATTTGTGATATTGGGCTATATAAACATTGATTGATTAGCTCCATCCCTTTCATCATGTGCTCTCCCCTTTTTGTGCTCCACCCTCAGTGTGTTTCCTGTCTTCCTCCGCCACCCTCCTGATTTCTCCATCTCTGAACTGCTGCTGTCAGTGAGATGAGAGAGAAAGCAGAGCAGGAAGCAAGAGCTCTCTGCAGGGACTCTGCTTCTCAGAGCGATTAAAAAAAAAACTGTGATCTTTTTTTCTGTAGAATCAACTCTCGGTGTGTGTTTTCCGCCCAATCTACCATTACATGTGGCCTTTTGCTTTTATTGATGCTTTACTGCCTTTTCATTTTGGATTTCACAGGGTGTGAAATGCCAAACGTCAGAATGGGACCCCATGCTCCCTTTAAACCCTCGTGTTATTTTATCTCTAGAAGTGTGTTTCAGATGCAAAGCAAGGTGTTTAATCATGTTTTCTCTGTGGCAGGAAAGGCGTCTAACAGCAGCTTAATAAAGGGATTGCAAGAAGAAGGAAGTCAGATAAACTAGGAGAGGAAATTGAAATATTACAGAGGAGGGGGCAAGCAAACAGGATGATTACCACTGTGCTCACCAACCAATTCACACATTCCTCTTCTTCCCTGCAGCGATTTGGGTTAGCGGCCGTGTTCTCTCTGCCGTAGCGAGGAAGCATTGACATTAATGGCAGTAGCGACTGGTAATGAGTCGTTAAAAGAGAGATTTGGGGCTTTACTGATCCGTTTCCATACCAACTGTCTTAGCTGTGGGGACTGGATCCTCTCAATGTTTTGGGAGGGGGGGCTGGAGATGTGTGTAATGGGATTTGAAGGAAGTGCTTCTGGGTAGAGCATCAACATGCACACACACACACACACACACACACACACACACACACACACACACACACTCACAATACATATACATATACCAAAACCACTGTGTGTGTGCTTGTTTTAAGTTAATCTTCAAAGCTCTTGCAAAAAATTCATCCTGACAGGCAGAGAGCAGCGAGCCTTCTGCAATTTTAATTTTATTTGACTGGTTCTCGTCCTTTTTTTCCATGTGTTTTTCCATTTTTTTTTCCTCCATTGCCTTTTGTTCTGGACATGTACACAACAACCAGTCAAGGATTGGTAGACATGCTCGCATTGAGAGGCGTTGCTATGACAACCAGGCGTTTGCAAAAAAAAAATCAGCGCGATGCCAACTCTCATCCAGGATCATGGGCTTGCGTGGGGAATAAATAAGAGACAGAGATGCTGGCAGGAGCAAACAGGAACACATGCTGTATATACTTCATGTGCATTCATCATATTACTTTATTATTTCCCCAGTTTGACTATGTTTACACGTTGAACGCAATAAACTGAAAATTAGGAATGATAGATATTGGAAGAGAGAGACACAGAGATAACCAGAAAGGAAAAGATGATGATGGTGATGATGATGATAAGAGACATTGGATTTGGGTTAAAGATATATCAAACTGTTATCACTGAAACTGACATCAAAGGCATCGTTGGCATGGGGAAGTATGAAAAAAAAAAGTTTAATTTCACAAGTAATCTCCAGCCCTTAGGCCCGTGGGTAAAACAAAACTCTGTGAAGTAGATGAATTTAGCTAATCTCTCTCGCACAGCTTCAGGGGATCACAGAGGCACAGGGATAGAAAATTACTCTGGTGCCTGGTTTGGCGCTTACATTTTATGAAACAGGGTCATCTCATTTCTCTCATATACCGAGCATAGATCGTTGTATGTCTGTCAAGAACAAAAAGTGGTATCCAAGATAAAAACTAGCAGGACATTCAGAGAGCGGGGACCTGTGATGTGATTCGGACTCACTCCAAAATGACATGGGTGCTTCCTTGGCCATACAACACCTTTTAACACCGTTGGATTAAAATCTGCCAGTAGTTTCTTATTATCCTGCTTTCAAACAGACAAACAAAACAGCAACTGATCCAAAAACATAACTTCTTTGTCAAAACACGTCTGCATTAACAGGTTGGAGAGAATGACAGACAACTGTCCCCTGCTCAGATGTTTTCTGTGAATGAGAAGAGACATGGCTGATGTTGCATCAAAACGCACTGCTGATACAGCAGACAGGAGGGATGATGGATGGGACTTAGTTTGGGAACCAGAAGGTCGCCGGTTCACATCCCAGATTGGACAAACTACGGAGTGTAAAGTGGTACTTTGAGAGGTATCAGTTAGACTATTGGGTCTCCTGAGCAAGGGAGTACATGTGGGTGACAATTAAAAAAGAATTTGATTTGAATGCTCCATTTCCATATCCTTGGTTTGTGAATGTGTGTGTGTGTGTGTGTGTGTGTGTGTGTGTGTGTGTGGTCTAACTCCAGTTTACAAAAAGCAATCCAGTTAGGAGGTGAATTGATTAGCATAATATTTATCTATAATTAAAGCATTTTCTCATTTTTTTGAGATATTCTAAAGACATCTATGTTGGTCGATCCACCACTTGATTGTAAACCCACACAATGTTATGACGTTTTACGGAGGAAATGTCCAAGAAAATAAATCTTTTTTTTTGCTGAACACAGCACCATGCTGTGATTGCATTTTTGCGGATCTGATAAGTTTAAGGACACACACAAACAATCCGGAAAAAGCTGAGCTGACCACTTCTCTCCAGCAGTGCAGTCCAACTGCTGAGTAAAGACAAAACGACCTGGCTCTGTTTTATCTGCTCTGATCTGAAATGCTTCTCCTTGGATCAGCTTCAAATGCACCACTTTTAAGCAAAGCACTCAGGCCATTTCGTCAACAGCAATAATCAAAATATGGGTTTTTCTGGAGCAGTTTTCGTCACCATCAGCCAAAATCTTTGCGGTGCCGATTATATTTCACAGCCAGTTCCTGCTTTGGATGTTTCCCCGCTATTTAAAGCGGATTATGTTTAGCAGTTATACAAACAGGAGCTGCACCAATAAGAAAAATTGACAAGCAACATTAGAAGTATTTTTCAGAAGTGGTTTTAATGATTGGACATGGACATCTTTGCCCTGATACACAGCAGTTTGGCCCATTGCAGCTCACTTTAGTCTATATTCACAACATTAACAGAAAATACAACCACTTAAATGTCTTTAAAACCTACTGGGTCATTCTTTAAAAATTCCCACCTTTAGTTGTTCTAATGATGGTGATGGATATTGCTGTCCAATACATTGCTCCAAAATCAACCAAAGTTGCAGACTCAAGTCCAAATTGGAAACTTTCTGTTGACACCTAAACCATATAGTCATTATAAGCCAATCCCAAATTTAAAGGGCAACTGCATATATAGGCAAAATATAACGCATGCCGTGCAGCATTACATGAATAGTGCTGCTCTACTGTCACATATCAAGCATAAGACACATTGATGTCTTCAAGATGTATACTTTTAAAGAGGCTCTTGTAGCTCATTCCTACAAAAATAGTGTGTCTTTGATGTCCTTTCAATGATTAAAGTTGCAGTTCGTAAAGTAAATATACAGAAATAATGAATTTAATTCTGGATTAGCGATGTTTTTGCTTCATTGCTCAATTTTTGTCTAAAAAAATCCATGTCCATGCATCTAAATGTGATAATATGCTGTATCTGTCTGCCAAAAGTTATATCATCGTGCATAATTATTCCAATACACTCTGCTGATTTTTTTTTTAGCACATAGCCTTTTTTTTTGTTTAAATTATAATTTCCTGATCACTTTAATGCTGTGTAATTCTCAAACATGATACAGTTCAATTGCAGGTGCATTTGATTAGAATATGTCTTATTTACTCCGCTGTGTGACATGTGGAGCATTAAAGGGATGTAGAAAACAAAGTCAAATAAACAATTTATCACCTGACAGGGATACTGTGAGTGTGTGTGTGCGTGCGTGTGTGTGTATGTGTGTGTGTAAAAGGGAGAGAGAAAAAGAGAGAGAAGGGGGAGGATGCTTGTGGCTTCAGGTTTTTGCAGAGCTCAACACAATTTCACCCAGGATTGGATCGGTGTGTGTGTGTTCCATCCCGTGAATGTCTATAGTGCCGCACCCTGTCCTCCGTGCGTAAAACCTCGCACGTACATCATCATCAGCATCATCATCACACACCACGTTTCATTCTTCCAGCAGAGTCTTGGGAGCAGCGGTGGGTAGCGGCTCACCTCGCGGACAGGTCGCACTCAGAGATGGGAGAGGAGCGGCTGCTATGACACGGACACACCGGGCGGGAAGGATGGCTCTCACCAGCCGAGGAATGTTTTGCTTGATCGGATCCGCCTGCCTCTGGCTGCCGTTGTTGGCGGAGGTAAGTCCTAAAATGTGATAGAGATGTGGTTGATTTTGTAATATGACCTTATTTTGTTTTAAATACCTTTTTCTTGAGCCATGTCATGTGACAGTCACGCTCTGATCACCTGAGCTGCATTTGACAAAAACCTTAATTAGGTCGATTATTAGATTGCCAATAAAATAATGATTCAAGGCAAAGTAACCAAACCAGCCACTGTTCATGTATTCAGGGTGCATTTTATAACAAAGCAGGTGCAGGTCGAAGCGTTAAAGGAGCACTATTATCACCTCTTTTAGCCAATTAATGGCGCAATAAAAGCGCATTGTGCAATTAGGCGGGCTCCCTCGCACGCGTGCGCGCACACAGTCATGCATGGTCTCAATCACACCCGCTCCCCCTCTCTCCCCTTCTCTCCCCCTGCCCCCCGGTGGGGTATCATGGGAGGGAGACATCGGCTCCTTTGCCCCGGTGGTGTGGTGGTTGCATGCACGACATGTCACTGCATATCAGTCAGTTTGGTGCTTCAGAGTCAGACATGCTGCAACCGGAAACTGGTGAAGCAGGTGTGAGTCAGAGCAGCCCGAGTCTCAGCTGGAATTCAGGCTCACACATTATTATAAGACATTTGTTATTCATGTCTCAAAGCAGTCAGTTAATGCTAAATCAGTCAATTTATAATTCAATTCATTATTTGTTTCCTTCAACAGTAAGTGTGTGTTGTGCTAATGTGCAGCATATGCCTGTGTAAAAGTCATTAATGGAGTACAGTGATGTGCAGGATTTAATTAGACCCACTAACACTGGGAGCAGCCGTGCATGTAGCACAAATAGCACACTGCAGATGAGTTTCAGCTTTTTCATTTTTCAACTTCATTAGATACATATTTTCATCAGGAAAACGCTGAATGCAGAGGGGGGCTACATAACATCACAACAAAACATCAAAGCTGTACACCAAGTTCTCTGTAATCTGTAAACTCTGAATCACCTTCAAAGTAACTGAATCTTTATCACAGATTAAATGTCTTTAGAAAAACGGAGTTGTAGTTGTTGCATCAAGTTACCAACATGGCCACATGGTACCATCAGAGTGTCCTGGGGTCCTATACAGCGGTAAAACATGTAATAAGTTAGCATAAATAGGCAGTAGTGGTTTGTCCTCCAGAAAGACACATAGACATTTTTTTCTGTTCTAATGCCTCTATTTGCATGTTACTGTTACAAATAACAGTTAAGAAATCAACCAATGTATCATGTGCTTTGGTTATGTTTACTTTGTTAAGGTTTGTTCTGAAAATAATAAACACACGGTATAAGGTGAGGGATATTTATCATAACAGTAAGGCCGGGCAACATGGAGAAAATCTAACATCACAGTATCTTTGACCAAATACTTCCATATAAATGTTTCAAGGATGTTGTACGGTTGACAATTGGTGCTTTTATCAAATATATACACCAAGAATTTTGATTAAAAATGATCAGTAATCTGATTATAATGATTAAGTGACAAAAAGCAACTACAGCAGATAACAGTTTGGTTTGTTCAGAAAATTACACCACTTTACTGTGAAGAAACCTCTAAAACCTGGATAAGACTATACACTTGCAAAACGTCTAAATTCTAGACATAGAATGACACTTTATACTTTATACTATACTTGCAAAATATTGATTCTGAACACATTTGGTTAGATGTTTACTAAACATGTATTTCATTTGCTTTTAGGACAATATTTACTTTTGCAACACACTGTCCACTATAGTTATCTTTAACAATCACACCTGGTTACGCTGAGGTAAAGATCATAGTGTTGGTTGAATATTTAAAAGGTCATGAGTGACTTGAAGCATGAGATCGGACGTGTTTCATGTACTGACATTTGACTAAGCGGGAACCTTTTCCAAGCCTTGACCAGAGTGCTTTTGTGTTGCCTAAACCTAAAATGTTAAACACAGGATATGAACCTCAAGTGCCCTGCGCTTTGTACTGTATAGCACTTCCTTAAACAGAAAACAAGCTACCAGGTAACATAACTGAGCAAATCAACTGAAAACATGACTTGTCCCAGCCTCTAAAATGAGAAGTATGGCAGATTATCTTTCTCTTCTATGATTTAAAACAGAGTCTTTCTGTTTTTTTACTGCTATACAAATAAATTAACTTCAATGAAGATTTTTACTCTAATTTGTCACTAACTAGAAGGTTTTTACCAGTTTTGTGATGAGGTGAATACATTTAGTTGGAGCAGGAAAATTCAACTTTATCTGTGAAGAAATTGTAAGCTTGGTGCACACATCATATCAAATACAAAATAAATTGTACACAAACAGAAAAGCAGACAGTTTTTATCATTTAGACTACAAGCTTTGACTAAAAAGAATCCGTTTACCGTCCTTCAGTAATGTCTACTCACACTGAGCCGATATGGTATTGAGCTTTCTATCTATCTGTACAGTCCCTGCTCTACTAGTGTGTGTGTGTATGTGTGTGTGTGTGTGTGTGTGTGTGTGTGTGTGTGTGGTGTGTGTGTGTGTGTGTGTGTGTGTGTGTGTGTGTGTGTGTGTGTGTGTGTTTGCATGGCCGGGCACTGGCCGCAGCTGTGAGAGCGTCATAACTGATTAGCGCTGTAATCGAGCCGTATGATTGATGTGATATCAACACCCATGTTACTACCACAGGTCACCTGTTCCTGCTGTAATATCATTAGACTGAGCGGAGACCTCTGGGAGTGTTTGCATGTGTGTTTCATGTGTGTGTGTGCTGTCAGAGAGAGACAACTACAGAGCAGAAATCATGTACTTGAAGGTGAATGTTTATTATTTCAGCGCCCTCATATTGTGTGTGTGTGTGTGTGTGTGTGTGTGTGTGTGTGTGTGTGTGTGTGTGTGTGTGTGTGTGTGTGTGTGTGTGTGTGTGTGTGTCCTGTCTTCTTCTGCACGGTGCCCTGCTGTGTAGAGGTGTGACCTGATTTCTCAAAATGAAACAGACACCCTCCTGTCAGATATCGTCTGATGCTGTCTAGTACTATTAGAGTGTGTGTTTAGCACTCACACCCGGATACTTGTTATGCTTTCTCCTTCCCTGCCATTTAGGAATAAAGTCATTCACAAATGCATGCAAATTGTGAAAACAATCCTCAATCAATCAATTAATCAAAGTGTATTCATATAGCCCAATATGCAATATCACACATTTTACATTTGTCTCAGTGGACTTTACAGTTTGTACTCCTCAGTTAATAGCCCTTTCTTTATTCTTTTCATTTAGAGTTTCTAACTTTGACCACAGTAAATATCATACCTACAGACAAAAAATAAACTCAATCAAGGTCAATGGTTGTACTGAAGGCTTTGGTGTGTTCATATGGAAACAACAAGGACGTTACAAAGAATACGCGTTGAACTTTTTTATAGACTTTTGCTCACACCACGTAAATATCTGTGTTGAGGGGTTGTCTTATTGAATTTTCACTATCAGGAATACATTTTCCCCAGGTATTCAAACACCACATGAAAGCAGCACTTAATGCCCAATATTGCAATGTTATTGAAAGTTAAACATAATGTGTGTGTTCCATGCAAATCAGGCTAGTAGATTTTCCGTAATCCTGTTTTTTACAGCTGCAAACCCGGTGTGTTTGGATGGTAACAAAAAGTGTCTGACTGACGCCATGGTTCTACCAGCGTTGGTGTCTTTCAACCTTTATTTGCTTAAACCTTAACCCTCGGTAAATGGTCATATGGGATTTTTGGAGGGCAAAAACAATTTTTTTGAGATTTCTATTTTGGTTAATATAGAAATTGTACTACTACATATATACAAGTACTTGTAAGTTGACTTTGTTGATTGTTAAGAAATGCTAACATTTACACTATTTGCCTTCTTGCCGACGGTGAGATGTCCTGTCTCTCATGTCTGCACGCTCAAGCACATCCAAAGCCTGCTTATTTAAATGTTACATTGTATTTGTTTAATCAGTACAGCAATGACTTCAAATGTCAAAATGAATGGGGATTTGTTTTGCAAGATGTCAAACTATTCCTGTAGTGCTCTTGTGGTTTATACGAGAGAAATACGTCTCATCTGTAGTGACAAATACAAGTTTCATGATCCACAAATGAAAAATCTAAATTGACAAATGTGGGGGACATATTGTGATGTGAATTTGAGGATTCATGATCACCATGATTCATTCACAAATTCTCATATAAACATCTGAAAAGCTTGTTTTTATTTGTGCAAATGTGTTTGTTCCTCATATGGAGACTTATTTCTCCCTGATGACTACATGTTCATGGATTCAATGCCTACATTACCCAAAAGTCTCTGAGATATTCTACGTATAATCACACAGAAAGCAGCGTTTTAGAAGAAGATTTACCTTTATTTAATTTCTTTATTTTCTAAATTCAGTTTCCACTCTGTTTTTATACAGATAGGTACATGAACATGCATTTTGTGTTATACAAGACAAAGTACAAGTACACACAGGTGAACACATGCACATGCATTTTTGGAGAGGCAGCCAGTTGGTGCTGGTGCCAGGGAGCAGTTGGGGGTTCAGTGCCTTGCTCAAGGGCACCTTAAAGCTACCAGTCCACTTTTTTTTTGGTCCGATCGGGACGTAAACCGGCGACTCTTCGGTCCCAAGGCCAAGTCCCTACCTACTGAGCCACTGCCTCCCTTTCAGTCTGTGATTGTGTGAATTACTGTATGTTTAACAAACTCATATTCTGGTCCTCTCTCTAACTGCTGGCTCTCTTCTCTTGTGCAGGTGGTGGCGGAGGACAGTTACTTAAACGAGGTGCAGAACTCAGGTGAGTGGGAGGTGATGCTCGGAACACAGCACTCTCATCCAGTCTATAAATCAAACGTCCCTTCATCCAGCCTCTCATACACCATCTCCTCCCTTTGTCTTCTTCCATTGTAACCCACATTGTGACTCAGACACTCCTCTGAACCCCCTCTGTCGACGCCTCCTCTCCTCTTTATTTAATCCACCCGCCTCAGCCCTGCTTCTCCTCTCGTCCTCATCTCTCCTCTTACCTCCGGCCTGCACCCCTCTGCGTTTAATTTCCCTCTTTTCTCTTCCTGAAGAGGTGTAGGGAAGAGGCCATGTTTGGGGGATGGGGCGAAAAACTCCTCCCTCTCATATTCATAGCAGAAATATCTGTGCTTTTACATTCAATTACAACCATACCTCTCACTTCCTGCAACAACAAAAAAAGAGCCAAACCAGCTTGATCATGTGGAAGTACGGAAAGGCTTTCAAAAATATTAGCACCTCATTACAAATACGAGAATTCAGCAAATGTCGCACAAGATGCTCTTCTTTGTTGCCCAAAAATGTATTAAAACAGTGAAAACAGAGAGGCAATTTTCCCAGATTGCATATTTATTATAAATTGTGTATTTTGTGTGGAATGGGCTGTTTCCACACATCACCCACCCCCCATACAGCAAGCCTCCGAGTGTGAACCGTGTCAAATACTCATTGTGGCTGGGAAATGGATTATGGGAGCAGTAAGACTGAGTGTTCCCATGGCGATGGGCAGAGTACCGTTGTCGTGGCAATGAGGAAGGGTGTTAGCGACGAGTGTTGTGTGTGTGTGTCTGAGCGCTGCGGGTGTTGTGATGAATAAACGAACATGAATGATGCATACATGACGAGGGAGGAAGTGAAATGCAAAAGTAGTGAAGCAGGGAATTTAAATATGCAGAGGGATGATACAATACAAAAATATAATAATATGATGTCCTTTTTTCCCTGAAGATGGAAATGACAGAGTGGAAAAGTTGCCTGGTTTAGTTACGTAAGGCTTTTTTTACTTTATAAAATTTTCATCAAGCTGGATTTAAATGTTTTATGGCATTACAGATCATATACAGCTTTGAATATATTTTTAACTCCAGTTAAATATTATATATATATATATATATTATAGATATTCATCTGTTATCATGAAAACAAAATCAACAGTTAAGGAGCACCAGTGTTACTAATAGCTTTATTGGTGAAGTGTGACAGTAAGATACAACAGTGAGAACAAATTCATTGTGTTAAAAAATGTGAGGATTTGATATGAGCGCCACAAAATACATGTACTAAATGTACAGCTGTGTCGAGTTAGTCGTCTGATTTTGATACTTTCATAAGATAGCTCTAGAAATATAGATTTGTTTCAAAAATCTTACCAGTAGATCAATCATATTTTTACTTTCATATTTTATGCAACCACACCAAACATAAAGAAACATCATCTCACTTGATCAATGTGCACTCATTGCAGTTGTACATTTTACAATCACTTGGTTCTCTGGATACTCCATTTACTCCTTATGACGGACAGATTCTCAACTGTTATAGATACAATGAGCTGAGGGCGAGCTGTATCATGGCAATTTTGGGCAATATACCCACCTCATATATCATGGCGTATCATTGCTTGAGACGCCGGTGGCTTCATAGGACCTTTGTAATTCCTTGTTCCTCGTAGACACAAATGGCTTCCATTCGATTCACTTGGGAGCTCAGACTTTTCAGTACGCTGAGGCTGAGAACCATTTGTATTCCACATGACTGGGCAGGACTGGCAAAACTGATTTTGGGCAAGGCCTTTGTGAGTGGTAGGCTGGGTGAATTTGGGAAGCTCTGGAGGAAACTCAGTTGATCTTCATTCTGTTTCAGCTTCATCAGCTCAGTGATCTCCTGCTGTTTAATGTGAATGTGCACACCTGCTTGTTTTTCTGCTGCTTTTTGCTTTTCCTGAATCCTACAGACTATTGTCGTTAAGTCATGCAAGGTTTTCGCCGTCATGTCTTCGGTGTCTCGCTTGCTTTTCCGTGCTGACTCCTTTATGACTTTGACCTCGTGGAGCTTTTCCTGGATCACGAGTTGCGCTCTGTCCTCAGTGTCCTCCAGCTGAGCCTTCATCTCTTCGTAGGCTTGCTGCACAGAAACTACGTCATGGTGTTCGTGTTGCGAACCGGCGCAGACGTCACATATCAACACGCTGTCGTTTTTACAGAAATTCCGGAGTTGATTGCGCTCCTCACAGATGCGGGCCTCCAGGTTCGACAAGGGTTCGAGAAGGGTGTGTCTCTTCAGGCCGGCAGCTTTCTGATGAGGCTCTAGATGGATGTCGCAGTAAGAAGCCACACACTCCAGGCAGGTTTTCACAGCCTCTTGTTTGGTGTCGGTACAAATATCACACAGCACCGCTCCATCTGAGAGAGCCTGCTGTTGGTCCGGGCTCTAGATGGTCATTTTCAGCGACTTGAACTGCGTTGCAAGCTCTGAGATGAAAGTGTTGACCTTGAGGTCCGGTTTCCTCAAAAATGTTTAATTGTAGACCGGACATTTCCAGACTGGAGTGTCGTTCCAGTAAGCCCCTGTCACACTGTCCCGAAATTGACACCAGATGGACACACGAATATGGAATTGTGAATTTCGCACGAAGATGGCCCCGAACTTGGTCAACAGCCAAGCAACAGCCGAAGCAAGTACGATGCCTACAGAAGGCCACACGATGGCACGCGAACCACACACGTAAATATGGTCGTAGACTTTACTGATGATTTAGAATGCATCCAGACTCAACGTAAGAGCTTGTGCCTCTTCGGGGGGTGCTAACAAAAAATAAATTCCCGATGGCACCGATGATCAGACGAAGATGACACGATTTGACAAGATGCCCTCACGATGGCCTTACGAAGGGCAAAATGGACACACAAATTCAACACGAAAATGAACCTTCGCAAGGGCCTTCGGCAATTTTTTGGCATGCCAAAGATTTTGCCACCGCTCACGAAGTTGCTGCCGGAGCCTGAGAAACTCCACCGGCGGTCATACGATGGCTTAAGATGCCCTCACGAATGGCCCGATGTTGTTACGATCAGAGCCGAATTTGAACATTTCCTTTATCGTGTGTCCATCTGGTGTCAATTTCGGGACAGTGTGACCCGGGCTGTAAGGCATGATACAGGACATGCAGAAGTTGTGTCCACACAAAGTAGAAACTGGCCGAGTGAGCACTTCCAGGCAGATAGGACAAAGTAACTGGACGCCATTTCTGAAAACAAACAGAAAGACAGCTGAGTTCATTTCTTGAACAGCAGTTGCAAAAAACAATTTAAAATCTTATCTATTTATTAGCTGCCTTAGACATTTTGATCATATCACATGATGAATGCAGTTGACATGGAATTTAGGATGATTTAATTTGCATTTACAAGTCAGGTTATCCACACAAAATGAATCTGCAACTATCTCAATAATTAATTAATCTTCAGCAAAAATAGGAAGAACTCAATGGCTCTCCTTTCTATTTTATTTATGTATGATTAACTAAACATATTTAGGTTTAACAATGCAATTTAAAGATGTCAGCTTGGGCTTTTGGCACAACATGATTTTTTAATTTTTTACTACTTTGCGAACGGTTTCTATCCTTCATTTGTGGGTCGATCGCTACTTCTAAAATGTTTACATGTACAGTAGGCCTATACACCCCAAAGACCAGAACAGGACATGAACAATGGTGTAACAGAATAAGAAGAGAGAAGGACTTCAAATAAGTCCTATATAGTTTTACATTTTTAACCTATATTTGGCATATATAGAGTTTTGACTATCTATATGTTATTGTTATCCAAATAAGCTTTAAAGCTCACAGCTAAGAAGTTCTAAGTAAATGTTTGACTTTAAAAAACAGCAGTTGAAAAAAGCATTTCAATATCATGCAATAATATTCATGAAAGCATTGCAAGATTCAGAAACAAAATAAAATCTATTATTTTCATAGTGACATTTTTTTAAATACAAACTTCACACAACATATAATCCACTCCCTATGTTTTATAATAAAGGTTTGGCTGAGTAATGACTACTTACATGTGCTGGTTTTGGTCTGCTAGGAGAAATATGGAGCTGCTGGTTGTTTCCCAGAAAAGGCCTGAATGCTTTCACTTTCTTCCTGTGTCATGCTTCTTAAAGGGACAGGCACGGTTTTTGTCCTTATGAAGTCAGAGGATTTTTTGAGGGTTGCCTTCGGCCCCGAGTGTGCACCACATTATTTATTGTTTGAGGATAGATTTCTGTTTTTGTTCAGTACATTTCTGCCTGATTGATTTCTCAGAGTCTCTCACTGCTCCCCCTACTGCTCTTCCTCTTATCTTCCTCCAGTGTGTGTGTGTGTGTGTGTGTGTGTGTGTGTGTGTGTGTGTGTGTGTGTGTGTGTGTGTGTGTGTGTGTGTGTGTGTGTGTGTGTGTGTGTGTGTGTGTGTGTGTGTGTGTGTGTGTGTGTGTGTGTGTGTGTGTGTGTGTGTGAGGTGGCGTGAGGGTTGCACTGTGTAGATAATGTTCGGCCAAGCTGTGTGTGTTGTGGAGATAAGACCGCTGCTGGTTGCCGAGAAACCGCTGCCATTAATCAAAGTGTAGTAGCCGCTTAGCCTCAAAGAACACTCTGGGGCTTCAGTATGTGCAAAGAAAGACTCAAATCCTTCAGAGAACGTATGCACACGGGACAAATTCATAATTAACATTCACGGTTAATTGTGGGGATCCATTAATAAAGGTAATGAAAGGAATCAAGAAAGAGGGAAGGACGCAAGAAAAAAATGAACAAATAAGGGAAGGAAGGATTAAGGATGAAGTGAGAGCAATAAAAAAGACGGATAACATTTAAAAAAAAATCTTGGTTTGTTGAGATTTCTATCATATTGCCAATAAAATCAGTATAGAAATAAACGCCTGTCCAACCAAATCACTCATACACAGACGTTTCAATAAAGACAAATATATAGATACAATTAAAATGAATACAATAATAAAACAAATAGTACAATACAAAGTGTACAGATAAAAACATTACAATTTATATTCCCTTATGCTATATTTATATATATATATATATAATGTGCATTTTATTTTCAGTCAATAATAATAATACAAAAACTCTTTTCACTTGCTTTTAACAATACACGTCAACCTCTCCAACCTAAGGCATGTTAACAACTCCCATTTCCACACCACATTTATAGGCATATTGTCCAAAGTCCATCATTCTTGTAATGACATTGGTGGCTCTCTTATTGTACCTCCTTTGCTGTCAGCAGGTATTTTTGGCTTTTCTTGAACAAATAGATGGATTTTCCTAAAGTATGGGGCATCATCATTTACATAATAAAAACACCCTTTAAACAAGGATACAGATGTTCTGTGTCTAAGAAAGAGGATGGCCCTCTTTCTATGAATCTAGTCAAAACTACCTCTGGGCACATTAGTGTGTATAGTACTTTTATGTGTTAATTCCTTTTCATTAATGTACGTTTTTACACAGCCTCAGTTTATAACCTGCTCTATATTTTGGGGCCTGATTCCGCTTCACTTTGATGTCAGCAGTTTCCCTCTCAGTCTGTCTGAGCTTCACTCGTCCTTCTCAGAGAAGATTACTTGTGATCACTACCATGTGAAGTAAGAGCGGGTTTAAGGACATTTCACCAGTTCAACGTAGATCAGCCGGGTAAATGCATTAGGAAGGGTCCTGCTGTGATAGTGGACAGCATATGAGCATCATCCATGTAAGCCTTTATTCTCAGATAAAATACAGACATGGGGATAATGGGACTTGAATAAGAGCAATTCCACTCCTCTTTCTACCCTCACTTCCCCCAAACTTTTCCCCTTTTATTCACATTATCCACCCTGACCCAAATCCCCCTTATCTCATTCTCCTTCCTCCACATTAACGCTCTCTCCCCTCCCTCCCCCTTCTCTTTGTGCAGTGCCTCTGTCCTGCTCTGAGGGATTCACAGAGTTGGGATACTACAACGGCACCGTGTCCCAGACGGACTCTGGCGCCCCCTGTCTGAAGTGGACCGAGTTTCCAGACTACGTCATGCAGTACCCGGGCCGGGGGCTGGGGGACCACAGCTACTGCAGGAACCCCGACCGAGAGTCCAACCCCTGGTGCTTCTTCAGACAAAACTCTGGAGCCATCGGATGGGCCTACTGCGACTGCCACCAGGGTACGACCCCGGACCACCAGGACGCGACTGACCACGACAATTTATAATAATAACCATAAGAATAATACGCTTTGTTTTTAGAGCACAAGTTATACAGTAAATTGCCACACAATTTAGAAAAAACACAGATAATCAACAAAAGACATTATCAAAAAATATATTACAATATATACAAATATATTTGTTATATTTCTAAATGCATTACAGGTAGTTCCGATTAATTAAAATTAACCTTTTTTTTAATATGGAACACGCACAATCATACAGGGTCACAATTGAGATAATGATCTTCATCCATTTTCAGAACAAACCATCTCCTCCCCTCCCACCCCACCATGAATAGTTTAATTAAAAAACACATTGATTCCACGTTCAGATATAAAAAATAAAAACACAGTGACAAAAAACAATATATAAAAAAAAAAAAGAAAAGAAATTATTTCCCGCTATTGGGTTGGGAGTGTTGGTAGGTTGTTGAAATAATCGATCAAACATTGCCATTTCTTATATAAACTTTCTACAGAGCCTCTAAGAGTATATTTTACCGTCTCAAGTTTCAGAGGGGTTAGCATTGAGTGGCAGAGAGACAAACATAATGACTTGCTTGTGAACATAGTAGAGTATTTAGCAGCTAAATGGCCAGATATTACCCTCAATAGTTAACGTAGACCAAAACAGAACTAAAAGAAGATTAAATACTGTACATAGACCTAAAACTCACCTTCAAGTTTTCCTATCTTTGTTGGCTGTGTTAATTGAACATTGCTTTCTAATATATTTGCCAAAGCAGAGTAATATTAAATGTCATGTGTGTTCTCAGCTTGTTTTGCGGCCCCCCAAAATCGTGTTTATTAAACTGTCTCGTCTGTTTTTCACTTCTCAGGTGCGGCGCGTCTGGTTGGCAGCTCGGCCTCTGGGAGTGGCCGTGTGGAGGTGTACCTGAACGGCCAGTGGGGGGCGGTGTGTGATTCCCACTGGACCGACAGAGACGCCAGTGTCATCTGCAGGCAGCTGGGCCTCGGGTAGGAGAAAGCGTTTCTTAAAATCAATATTGTAAAACAGGTGTGAAATAAAGTTTTGGCAGGGGATTTTTACTAAGTTCGCTGTCTTACATCTCTGAAAACAGGGGTATTTGTTGTTGTAATACTCATTTAGGCCACAAGAGGCTACTACAGTACACTGCAGACCACAGTTTTTAAGAGAATTGTCAATAGCGTGACTCAGGAGATCCTAAACAAATCATGATTTTTAAATAGCCTATATCAATTATATAATAGTGACTGCAATTATCTTTATCGCTCAAACCAAGTTAGGAAAAAAACTGCATAACGACGCCGCACATTACGCCGTACAGTTGAAGAAGTGAAGACATGTTTTGTTTTTACAGAAGTTTCATTAGGTATGTTCATTATGTAGTTAAAGATAATATCAAAGCTACATTTGAAATGTTGTTGCTCATAATTTGATTACTGAAACACATTTTTAAAAGGTTTTCTAACTCATAAGTGCTCCATTGTCCTTCCTCGAACTGTGCTGTCATAATTAATGAGACGCAGGCGGAGAAATGTATCTCGTCCTCACATTTTGTTGAGTACCACTATTTCTTCTACTGTATTAAACACTCATTCCGGCAGGCCTGAGCTGTTGTTTTAAACCAGTAGTGAAAATATACAGCCGATCCCGTTCTGACAGAAATGCACAATGCATATTCACAGTACAGGGGAGGGGCTGTAGGGGACCGAAAGACATGGGCTGCTGTGTAAAAAACCCAGTAGAAATGCGTGCATGTGTGTGAGAATAGTAACCGTCGAAAAAAATGGTGGCAATTCTCTGGGAATAAAACACAAACAAACAATTTGGATTGGGCATTTCAAACTTTTCTTTCACAGCAAAATCACCCATACATATACTCCTGGAGATCTGCCTGATTGTCTTCATGTACCAAAATATATACCTTTTTTTCAACCTGTCCAGTAACAAGAGAGATCTTTATAAACACATAACTTAACTCCAATGCACCAACATTATCTGTATAGAGATCAGGGAGGTCATTCATATTCATAATATTATGAAGTTGGAGAAGAATGTTTGTTAACCTGCACCTGAGATAGAGATTGGATCCATTATTCAATTATTTTATTGAAAGATGATTTTGGCAAATCCTTTTTTCAACTGTTCTTAAAGGTCACCTATCATGCAAAATCCACTTCTTCATGTCTTTTAAACATACATATGTATCCCACTCTGTGTTAAGAGACTCTGAAAGTTTCAGGAAAAAAGAACCCCTCTCTTTTTGTCCTAAACCATCGATATAAAAACCTGATCTGAAAACGAGCTGATCAGATTTGGGCCACTTTGTGATGTCACAATGGTGTTCCGGGTTTTGCAACCATTAGCCAATAACCAACCAAGGTAACCGCACCTTATCACCTGAATCTCCCCCTAGAAAACCATTGTGTTCTTTTTAAACCAATCACTTCTCAGAGGGGCGTGGCCAGAAGCATCTCATTAGCATTTAAAGCTACAGACACAGAATCAGCACTTTTGGAACAGGGCTGAAACAGAAGGGTATATGGCGTGCTACAGTGATCTGTTTGGTATTTCAGCCAAACACTTCAGAGACATGTTTTGTATATATCTGAGACCTATAATATATTGTTGAAAAAGAGTATAATAGGGGACCTTTAAGTAATAAACACATGAGAGGAAATCATTTAGATCAGAAACTGGACCACCAGGGCTTTTGTAGTGATGCTGTTATTGTTTGTTATCAGGGACATTGGATCAGCGGTGCAACGCTCTCAGTTCGGCTCAGGCTCCGGCCTCTTCCATTACGAGCGTCTGGGTTGCCGCGGCGACGAGAACACTCTGAGTACTTGCCGCGGCCGGACATTCGTCACCGGCGACTGTAGCCATGGAAACGAGGCAGCAGTGGTGTGTGCACCACCGGAAGGTCAGTGTGACTTCCACAGTGTCATGGCAACCAGACCCTGAATACCCCCCACCACACACACACACACAACACACACACACACACACACACACACACACACACACACACACACACACACACACACACACACACACACACACACACACACACACACACACACACACACACACACACGGGGGAGGGATTTATCTGTATTTCTGTGAGAATTATTCAAAAAGGAAATGTATTTATACTTTTCTATACGGTAGTATTTAATGTATTCCTGCTTTGTTAACAATGTACTTCATTACAGTCATGCAAATAAAGGAGGATTCACTTCAAATATATATATATATTTAGAGGGAGATGGATGCTGTTTGACCTACATGGGGATATTTCTACATCCTCTCTCAGGCAGTGGACCTCCGCTGCGATTGGTCGGAGGCGAGGAAGACTTTGAAGGTCGGGTGGAGGTGTTTCACACAGGAAGGTGGGGCTCCATCTGCGACGACCAGTGGGACGACAGAGATGCTGAGGTGGCGTGCAGACAGCTGGGATTCGGGTACGTAAATAGGATTTTTCACACCAAGTTAAGATGTATTAATCCATTTTGAATCCATTTTGAATCCTCCACTCTGTCCGTAGCTCACAGGTGAAATATAGTTTAATTTTTTAAAACAGAGAGAACTGACATTTTAAATAATTGGGACCGAAATATATATAAATAATGTATATATACTTTGTTATATACTGTAAAGACCACATCCTCAAACTCATGGACACTGCATTTATTGGGGCCTATTTTCAGTGGCGGATAAACACACAATTAGATACTCTGGTGGGGATTATTTTGCCTTTGGTTGGATCAAAAGTGTAAAATATCAAATGGGTGAAGCTAGAGGTTGAGCAGATGTCAAAAGATCTGTTCCTGCAGAGTGACACTTTGGGCTCCAGATCGTGCCACCATGTGACTAAAGTGAAATGCCTCTTTAGTCCACACACAATGATTGTATATTGAAAACAGCCTTTGTTCTCAAATCAATCCTGTCCACACAAACAAGGTTTTAAAAAGAAATCTGTATGTAGATGAAGATGAAATTGGAGGGTTGTGATATCTAGTGAGCAGGTTGGTACACACACACACACACACACACACACACACACACACACACACACACACACACACACACACACACACACACACACACACACACACACACACACACACACACACACACACACACACACACACACACACACACACACACACACACACACAGACACACACTTGAGACATTGGTGATGGGGTATTTGTCGTAGGAGTGTATGATAATGTACCGGAGACCCCTTTGAGGCCTTCTGACGCATCTGTTTTTTAATATAGTTTAAGAGTAGGCCTATATGTCCACTTTAATGGAGGTATTAATGCTGCTGTTGTGCTACGTGTCACCTCATTACTGACACGTCATAAAGGAGAGGCGCCGCACACTCTCAGGACAGTGTATGGAGGGGGATTGACTCAATATAAACTGCACTGCCATTGTTCATCGTGATGAAGGAACAAGTCACGCAGTGCAACAGTGTGACTCATTTCTGGGTTTTTAATAGTTTTTGGACAACAATTGGAGCTGTGAGTCACAAAGGAAAAGGCTTTGCAATATTCCCCTTATAGGATACATTCTTAGTTTTCTTTGTCTTTCCATTGAAGTAGTTGACAATACAATTATAGATTATAACCAGCCTTACCCTTTTAATCAGGAGGGATAAGTAAAACATGTAAAAGTACAAGACACAGATGCTCCCATGAACAGGAAACAGATGTCACCATAGAAACGGACAGATGCTTTGCATGTATAACATCCTCTAAATGAACATGTGTCGAATGTTGTTGCTAATTGAAGCCTGCATTTGAAGATCAAATAAGAGTAGGGCAGGATTGAGCCTTGGACTGACCCACACTGACTTCTTATTCTCATAAGAATCAAACATGGAGGTATTTTCCTAGTAAAAAAAACCCAAACCGTAAGTTTGTCTGTTGAGGTAGATTGTGTTTGAATGTGTGCAGATGTTCCCCTCCTCTCACACACAGTGTATCCCCTGCAGAGGTGTAACATCCCTGACAGCTTTCAAACGAACGATGAAGCCGTGAAGAGAAATATTACTCCTTCCATGTTCAACATTAGGTTGCATTTCATCTCCTCTAACACAGTGGGACATCTCACCAGCTGTGTTTGTGCTTCTGAATAATAAATGTGCTGATGTGCAGGTTCTCTCACAGCTGCACACACACAGTTTTGACACTCAAAGACAAATGAGGAGATTTGTTTTTTATCCCACATGAATAGTTTTTCTTTCACTGCGCCATGCATGTGTGTTAAACAGTTACACACTTTTAACAATCTCATATTTTGCCAACTCCTGCTATGATATTATTCTACTACTGCACAAGATAACAGTAAACAGTGTTTTATTATGATATGTGAGGTTAGCTAGTAAACCCAAATCACTTTTTTTGAATTGATATGCCCCAAAGATCACAAATGAATCACAAAATAAATGAGAATTTTTTCAACAATATTATTTGGCTCATACCAAGAGATATCCGATCAACTTACACACAAGACATGAAAACATATATTTAATTTATTTTACTGTACCTTAAAAATTCTGCAACAACATGACACGAGTAACAACACAAATGACAGAATTATCTTCTTATCCCTTCTTATTTTTTACCATATTGCCTACAATTCCTTCCAAAGCTCCATATTTATAATATAAATAACATGTTTGAAGAAGCTTGTGTGTTGACAGTAGATATAATAATAGCTTGGATTTATATAGGGCCTTTCATGGGACCCAAGGTCGCTTAACAAAGAAGAATAGGGCTGGGGCATGTGGGTGGAGGATGTCCGATAGGTACTGGGGGGCATGGGCATGGAGGGACTTGTAGGTAAGGAGGAGGATTTTGTATGATATGCGGGATTTGACCGGCAACCAGTGGAGGTGGATGAGGGTGGGTGTGATGTGCTGCCACGGCTTTGTATTTGTGAGTACCCTAGCAGCACAGTTTTGAACATACTGGAGCCTGTCCAGGGTTTTGTTGGGAACCCCAAACAGGACACTATTGCAGTAGTCCAAGCGGGAGGTGACAAACGCATGAAGGGTTTCGGCAACCGACTCCGAGAGTGATGGTCGGAGTCTGGCAATGTTCCTTAGATGGAAAAAGGCCGATTTGGTCACAGACTTGACGTGGGAGTGGAAGGAAAGGGTAATATGAAGGAAAGGGTAATATGAATTCCAGCTGTAGCCGACACAGGAGCAGAAAGGCATGGATTCACGCAAAACACACAGAAGTGCTTCATGTTGCATTTAGCATCAATAATTAATCTCCACATGAACATCCTAGTAGGGGCTTTTCATGATTTATGAGGATGGTTTGATTTATTTTGAGAGTATTTATTTTACTTTTTTGCTATGTCTTGTTTTGTAGGAACTGGGCAACACTACAGCTACTTATTTATTTCTAGTGAATAAGCAGGTATATTATCAACGTCATATATCAATCATAAAGACTTTGATGATCCCGTGACTCTAGTGCCACCCTGAGGTTGAAATGTGTGGGTTTATTTTAAGTATTGAAAACGATTTGATGCTACTGTATGAAATTCATGTTCTCCTAAAGATGACATTTAATGACTTCCATGATCCTTTAACTCTTCATTTTGCACCATCATACAGTAAAAAAAATATAATGAAAAAATGTGCTCATATGTTGTAGGGGCGTAGCGAAGGCCTGGTCGTGGGCTCACTTCGGTCAGGGGTCCGGCCCGATCCTGCTGGATGCCGTGAAGTGCACAGGAAACGAGCTCTTCCTGGACCAGTGTCCCCACGGCGACTGGGAGCAGCACAACTGTGACCACATGGAGGATGCTGGGGTCTCCTGCAGCCCGTATACAGGTACATGTACAGCACACACACACACACACACACACACACACACACACACACACATAGACCGATGTACACTGAGAGGCTTGAAGCTGCTATTTATAGCCGCTGAACATCAATAAATCATTACAGCATGAAGCAGCAACATCCTCTGTGTGACGAGCAGAACCAGGATTCATGGGAACTGAGGACTAACATGTGTACTGGCATGACATGCAGCTAGTATTCAGCAGAGCACCATGAATGATTCATCTGAAAATGATACATTCATGTTTGCATCTATAAAACATTTATCTTGCCTCAAAGTTGCATTAAGGATCTTTTGAGTCGAGTGTAACCGCATGAATCCCTTTTACAGTCCCAAGACTTTGCCTCAATATGAATCTGTTTCAGACGGGGTGGTGCGCCTGGTTGGAGGAGACAGTCCCTGGGAGGGGCGGGTGGAGGTTTTCCACAGCGGGGACTGGGGGACGGTGTGTGACGACCACTGGAGCCAGCAGCATGCGGAGGTGGTCTGCAGACAGCTGGGCTACAGGTACGGAGAGATGCACACCGATGAATCACTTTTAAAAATGTTTTACTCGGATCCAATCATACATTCGATGGGTTCTTCCTCGGCCAATTCTACACCCTTCGACCAAGTAACATGAAAATCAGACCAGTGTTTTTTTAATGTTTTTGCTGATAAAAAAATAGACAAACAAACTCAATTGAAAACATAAAATCAGGGTGGAGGTTAGCAACCAAAATTACATTATTAGTCACCTGCAAAAGCTCAACTAGTATTAATAATGTCATCATTATATTATTCTAATGTAATCTTTGACTAAATCATACCAGAATTCAGGTAAATGATGTGATACATTTGACCTCATGAGGTGAACACACTTCTTGTTGTGTAACTTTGCATCAGTTTTATCCCATGTGTTGTGTTGAGTATCTGTATGACTTCTCCTCCTCCTTCAGGGGTCACGCGGAGGTCGTATCTGACGGGATGTTTGGCGAGGGCGTGGGTCTGATCCTCCTGGACGATGTCCACTGTGAGGGGTCCGAGACATCCCTGCTGGACTGTCCGCACGGGATCTGGGGCCGGACCGACTGCTCCCACAGCGAGGACGTCGGGGTCCGCTGCAGAAAACGACCCAGCCAAGAAACCAACCAGGTGCCGGTCATCGCACCTTCCACAGGTACGAGACGAGGGTGAACAACGCCTGACTGCATATTGTTTTATATATATGGGTGCTGATTAGAATAAATCACCTCTTCATTTTCTGTTGTCCTGAAATCTGCCTCTATTGAACGTTATTCATGGTCTCAGCGCCATCACTACACAAACACTTGTTGAAAAGTCATAGTATTGTATGTCCTGGGAAATGACATAAAAAGGGATAGTATAGTATAAAAAAAAATGTGATGAGAAAAGTTCAAGCTTAGTGTTCATCTAAATCAGGGGTGTCCAAATCTTTTTCACCGAGGGCCACTTACAGAAAGATATACAAAGGTCTGGGCCCCTCACTAGAGGTGAGGTATATGACCTCATAAGGAAAGTCATAAGTCAGCTAAATCAATCAAAAGTAGGTAAATGATGCTTGATACTTGAATATGCTTTAAGAAAAACAACAGCCGACATCACAGCTCTCCATAGGGTTTCATTTATTTTGTTTTCAGCTCATTCCTTAAAACAGGAGCCTCAGATTGCTTATAATAAGAGCAAATAGGAAGGGTTTATTTCAAGCTTGTTATGTAAATAAGTTATTTGGCTTTTTGTTTTCAGTTTTAATTGACTGAATTTATTTGAGTGGGCTTCTTGACACATTAATACTACTGTGTAATATATGTTTCCATCTATATTTAAGAAGTACAATACAAGACAAACACCAATTTCATTTGTGGGCCAGACTCCATTATACTTTTTTAATTTTGCGAGGGCTGATTCAAAATGTGCATTCGGCCCCCGGGCCGTAGTTTGGACAGCCCTGATCTAAATGTATCTAAACAAAGAAGAGTTCAAGTATATAATATAAAACAATTATCAAATGATTAAAATATAGTACAATACAAAAATACATAGTATAGTGTGTTGTGAAAAAGTCATTGTTAAGCATGTAAAACTCATAGTATTTAAGTATGACCTAACAAAGGTTTCAAAAAAATCATTGTATAGTGTGCCGTAATCAATATCACAAAAGTCGTAGTATAGTCTGTCAAAAAAAGATGTATTATTATTATTATGTACCAAGGTGATAATTAAAAAGGCACATTTGACTTTGATTCAATGTTGTGTGAGAGTACACCAGACTACTACTACTATGTCACATGTTATGTTCATTTGGAAAGAGTAGGAAGACAAAAGGACCGCTGCACTGCAGAAGTTTGGAGCCTGCCATTAATTTAGTACCAAAAGGGCAAGCTGTCCCTGCAGAGTGCTGGTCTCAGGCCAGCTGTGAACTGTTTACTTAATACAACTCTTTCAGCAGTAGACTCAACCTAATACACATTTGCTTTAAATGGCTAATCGACAAAGATGCAAATAATGTTTCTGTCTGGCCTCTGAGAGATTGAAGTGTCCTTTAGTGCCACTGTATGATTATCAGTGTGAAAACTCCAGTGTTTTTCTATGTCCAGAGACTTTAAATGCCACATGTTGACAGCAGAGAGAATAAAGAGGTGTTTACTGCGCCTCCTGTAGACACACACTCCATTAGAATGAGAATAGCAGCAGAATAAAGAGGCACCAGGCACCAGATGACATTTACCTCTGCCAGCGGACATAACTCTCAGCAGACTGTTGACTGGAGTATGTAGGTGCACCCACATGAATATTAATCAGGGATGTGTGTTTTTTTCTCCCGTTAGGTCCCCTGGTGCGTCTGGTGGGTGGCAGCAGCAGAAAGGAGGGTCGAGTCGAGGTGTATCTCCATGGTGACTGGGGAAGTATTTGTGACTCAGGCTGGAACGACCTGAATGCAGCCGTGGTGTGCAGACAGCTCGGACACAGGTTAGTATTTAAATGCATGAATCAACAGACAAAAGATCCTCACACTCACACAGCTATCTATGTACAGTATCTGTGCAACAGGACAAAGCATCTATGAAAATGAACACCAAATATCAAGATCAATATTAAACAGGCCTACATTGAACGCAAAACATCAACAAATGTAGTCAAATCTATATCATAAATCGCAAGAAAAATCCAATCTACTAAGTACATACGTAGACAGTTATAAGTACTTGCCCATCTGTTACCTTAGCGATTAGCCGGGATTAGTTTTGACACCTATAGAAAGAACATATTTATGCACACATAACAGACATGAATAGTTTTATAATTACCGGTACAGTGGGTTATAGTGGAGTATTAGTTTGATAATTATAGGTAATAATGAAGTAATACCTTCCAAATGACTGAAGGAATAACTGGGAAGCTTAGTTTTTATAATGTCTGTATAAGTGGGTAATATTAGTCATAAACGGCTAATTCAAAGAAATAAACATATTAAAGCCAATAGTCAAACTAAAAGTAGTAATAGTAATTTTATATTTTTGGTAACAATATGGTTAGAGCATAATAGAGTTGTTTTTTCTGGCATTTCAACAATATAGTATAAATGTTGAGAATAAAGCTAAACCTGTGGTATATGCGCTAATGCTAGTAGTTTGATTCATTTCTAGTTTATTCTCAAAATGCAAAAACACAAACATCTTTCTTTGATATTTCGTTTTTCTTATGCCTGGACCTCATACTGAAAGTTCATTCTCAACACTTAGACTTAATGAATTGAATTGCAGATTTATAAATAATTACTTTTTTTCCTCTAGCCAGGTCCTTAGAGATCAATAAATTATCAGTGCAATATTTGAATGAAAAAATGCTAATATGTTGACATTAATGGGGTAATAATACCTGATCAAAATATTAGGACTGTATTAACTTAACCTTCCACATCGTATGAAAATGACTTGCAGAATTGACTGTACATTAATATGCATTTTAATCATTGTTATTTAGTTAATCTCACCAACATTCTTTCTCCCCCTCAGTCTAGGAGCAGTAGCAGCGGGGGGGTTCGGTCAGGGCAAGGGGCCGATCCACCTGGACCAGGTGAGGTGCACGGGGAAGGAGGAGTTCCTGGGGGAGTGTCCCTCTCTGGGCCAGAGCACCCAGAGCTGCAGGCGGAGGGTGGATGCGGGGGTGAAGTGTGACGCCCCCCCGAGGGAGTCAGCGGCGGGGGCCAAGCCTCGGGAGCTGAGCTGTGGGCTGAGGAAGCTGGGGGAGGAGGAGAGCAAGAGGGAGAGCCAGGGGGAGGGAAACATGCTCAGGTAGGATATAGGACAAAGTGTGGAGGTACAAAACATCCAAATTTGAAACTCTGTCCTGGTGACATAAGACAGTCAGGACTTGTAGTAGCAAGTGTGAATACAGAACACACAGTACAACATTTCCACAGTAAAAGAGTCTATATTATATTTTAATTTAATTCAATTTTCAGAATAAGAAATATAAATTGCTTTATGTTATAGTTACTCCTATAAAGGATGGGAACATTTATATTCAATCTAATATTTAATATTCCATTCCTCACATACTTATGTATATATAATATCCTACTTTATATTTTGTATTACTGTACATTTGTAATTCAACCTGTATATTTTCTACTTCTTTTTCTAATGCTAATTTATTTCTATTGTGATGTTTACATTTTGGAATGTTTATTTCTAGTTTTTAATTTGTATTGTACAATGCCATATCTTTTTATGCTGCTGCAACGCAAACATTTCCCAAGTTGGGATCAATAAAGTATTTCTTATCTTCTTATCTTATCATATCTTAAGACAAAAAAAAAAAAAATGCCAGAATGTAACTGCATTTTGGCCTGGTCTTTGGTTAGATAACGTTTTGATTCAAATCTCCTCCCATTGGCTGTCAGCACCTCGTGGCCCTGGCGGGTGTCGGTGTGGCTCCACTCTCAAGAAGATGGCGGCCCCCTCTGCAGTGGCACACTGATCAGCCCCTGCTGGGCCCTGACCTCCGCCTCCTGTGTCAGCAGGTGAGACCACCGCCGGACTGCAAATCTATACAAAGAATCAGTGAGAAGAAGTCATAACGCACCAACACTTGTCTCCACCCTCCCCCCCCCCCCCCCCCTGCAGGTTGGGCAGCGACCCCTCCAGGTACGTGGTGCGCGTCGGGGCGTCGGAGCAGACCCTCACTCCGCAGCAGGTGGTGGTCCACAGGAAGTTCAAAGGTCAGAGTGGAGGTCACGATCTGGCTTTGCTGAAGCTTCCCAGCACCAAGGGCCACTGCCTGACGTTCGACCCCAACACCAACGCAGCATGCCTCCCAGCTGCAGACGCTTCATCAGGAGGGATTCCTCCTTCTTCTTGCGTTGTCATAGTTACCGCTGGTTTGACAGGACCAGGTATGGGTTTTTCCTCTCAAGTGTACTTCAGTCATATCTCTTTTAATATAAAATAATACAATGTATATCTTTTTTTTAAAAGGGTTTCAAATGTCACTCATAGAAAATGCTGCTGTGTATCAAATGAAGCATTAATTAAATAACAGTCAGACATCAGCCATGACCTGCTTCTGTTGGTTGGCTCTGTGGATCTTAAAAATACTTTATTGTTTGGTTAAAAATATGAAAAAACTAATGGAAAAGTATATCTGAACATGGTGAAAAAATGATGGTCTACTTTCTTGAAAATACAGAGAAAAAGTCATAGTATACCATGTCGAAGAAATGATAGTAAATTATGTTGAAAATATCTTTAAAAAAGCCTTTGTATAGTATAAAATATGAAATGTTTTATTTATTTATTTTAAAATATACATAGAGTATGTCAAAAAACTACATAGCACAGTATGTCAAACATTTCAGTAAAAATCTACATAGTATAGTATGTTGAAGATATTCAAAAACACATCATAGTATGGTATGTTTAAAAACATTCAAAGAAAAGAAAAAATGACAAAGTATAGTAAGTTGAACATTTTGAAAAAAAACGACATAATGCAGTACGTCGAAAATGTCAGAAAAAACGACAAAGTATAGTATGTCGATCGGTACACTTTGTAGTTACTTTTCACTTTTCTGTAGCAAGATTGCAAAGAAATGGCAAAATCCCAATTTATCCCCTGATAACCTCATCAGCTGTGCTGTATTTAATGCTAATCAACAAATGCTACGATGCTAATACTGTGATTAAAATAGAAAATAAATGATATACTATGACAGTTTTATCCTCACTATGACACACAGACATCATAACAGAAAAACAACACTGTCAGATTCTATTAATGATTTAAGTTTGTTAATTAGATATAACAAATGCACTTCTTGCACTTTTGAAACGATTGATTAACAGTCACATGTGATGTAATCAATACATTGTTATTGATTAACTTAGAAATTAATCAACTAATTGTTCATTTATATAATCTCCTCCCTCCTCTCTCTCAGACTCAGTTCTTGCATCCTGGGTCCCTCTGATGTCGTCATGGCAATGTAAGAAGCGCTATGGCGACAGCTTCTCCAGCCACGGCACCCTGTGCGCCGGCAGCCCTCCAGACACCAGCCTCCTCCACGACAACGGTTGTCAGGGCAACTCCGGAGGCGGGCTGGTGTGTCAGGGGGAGTCCGGTCGATGGTTCCTCACCGGGGTCGTCGCCGGGGGTAACGGCTGCTCCGACCCATCCTCCCCGTCGCTGTACACTCGAGTCAGCCGCTTCAAGAGCTGGATCGAGGAAGTCACCGACACACACCCAGAGGAGGCGCACACACACACAGACACACAACAAGATCTCACACATGCTGACAGTGACCCGACACACACACACAGCGAGGGCAAGAGCGAGCACTCCCACGTGCACAAACACACACACGATCAACAGGAAACAAATGAAATCATTGATATTACTAAGAAACACACTCATCATACACACACCAAGCAGCACGTTAACACACACACACACACACACCACGGAGGGGATGACACAGACGCACAGATCCTGGTCTGAGTGAAGCTGACCATCTGACCATGTGAGCGCCTGAGGAGGAGGAGGAGAGTTACAGGAAGTAAACATTAAAGAAAAGAAAGATGCCTCTAACTTAGGTCAGTGCAAACATGTCCGATCTGAACTCAGCGGTGTGTGTGTGTGTGTGTGTGTGTGGGCAGACCTTGCTGAGTGTGTTTGGGTGGGTTTGAGTTGCTTTACATGTGAGTTACAGCCCGACGAGAGGCCGAACAAAGACGTTTAGGTTGAGCCTGGCATGCTGATCGAGGCCTTTCACTGATACCCCAAAATCAAAAAAATCAGCATGGCATGTATTTTAAGGTGTTCTAAAGATTCCGGGGATATTTCTGAAGGTCACACGAGACTCTATGCTAACAATTCACCTATTATTGTGCGTCTTTTGTCTGTTTAGTGACGGAAATCAACTAACTAACCACCAGAACATCTAGAATAAAGGCTGACTGTGTTATTGTTGTCCCTCTAACATTATAGATGAAACTCAGATATGGGCTTTTTTCCCGCAGGGCTCGTCTCTTCAGGCTGTTGTCTGTTTCCTAAACTGATGAAAGTGCTGTTTAGACCCACGACTAAGCTATTTATCTTAGGACCATACCAGTGATTCTTCATGTTTTAGTGTATTTATCCCCATTTCCAATGATGTATGTGTCTACTGTTGACTATTTATAACTATAAGGTTAATTACATTTGTGCTGTACCTACGTAATGGGTGCTGCTTATTAATAAGGAACACTTGTTTTAAAAGGTTAAAAGTGTTTATTAATGAAGAACTAACAAATACAAGATCAGCATTTAAAGAGAGCAGGTTTATAATAAGGTCTCACTTCTGCTGTTGGCTAACACAACTTAGTTTTTAAGGACTTCTTAGCATTTATAAAGGGAGGCTTGATATCAGAAAGAAAGACACTGAGTAATTATTCAGGAGGTTTTCTACCTGAGTGGTAAAGCAATACAAACCATCGATAAAGGCATAGCCAACATAGTTTAAAACCCCTTTATAATGGAGGTTTCGTTATAAAGTGGCTGATGGTGTACTGTGGAGAGCCTCACGCACTTAAGCATCATAAATGTGAGGATTTTCTTTCCTGGAAGCTGTTGGTTTTCATTGATTTCACAACGAAAACCTGTTAAATCCATCACGATAAATGTTAAATCTGCATTATTTCTGTTGTCAGAGCCCCATTAATGCTGAGAGGTCCCGCAGTGCTTACCTTCTCAGATCAATTCAGCTGCATTACCTCGCAACAGTAATGGGAAAAAAAAGACTTCTTGCAGACATGGTGATGGAATACTCAACTCACTCAAGCTAATTGATTTCAATTCCAAAGGGAAAACTATAGAAACAATGGCAGCTCAAAAAAAACCTACCAAATGGTTGTCAGCAATTATATCAAGTGTCGGTCATTTTTAGTTATAGATAAAAACTTGCAAAAACATCGGTGTGGTCCTTTAAAACTGTACAGGACACTTCTCTCCTTTGAAAGCCATTGTAAGATGACTTTCGGGTCTTTAAATATCTTTTTGTATGATTCCAGCAGAAGGTTCTAGATAGATAGATAGATAGATAAATAGATAGCTCTCCTCCTGAGATTAGATATTCTGTGTTACTGCGTTCTCTCTTAACTGAATTAGATAGCCGATCTCTCGAAGTTAAATGTTGTCTGTTATTCTGCGAGCGGATGTGCCATCCAACCAGAAGATGGCAACATTGCTCTATTTTTTCACGGGGCCCCGCCTGCTGGATAACATGGCCCTGATACTTCTTTTTATACTGTTGCTATAAGTGTAAGGACTTGTGCTTTGATGTACTGTGAACCATTGTGAAGCATCTTGTAGCCTGCAGCTGCTGTTTCTCCAACCTGTCTGCTGTTATAATCCTGTACATTAATCTAACACCTCCTTCCTCCCTGACGATTGATGTGTTACCATGCAGATCCTGTAGGTTAATGTAAATACTGTGTGTCTGAGGGAGCAGTGTGAAGAGTTTCCTGGTGTTACACCTGTCAGCTGCTCCTCAGTGTAATGTGCTGAATCATGGTTGAGTATTAAAACATATACCTGGTGAGCCCTCAGTGTTGGTGTCTCTTCTCTTTCTTATTATTAAATAATACACGTGAATAAACTGTCTTCTTATGTTAAAATAATTATTCGTCCACAGAAAAATGTGGATAACAAAAGCAAAAATGTTAAAACCTAATAAAAAACTAAACACAATTTGCACAGTATGATACAGATCTCAATTATGCAGTCCTATGCTCATATTTCCAAAATATTTTCACTAAAACTTAACTTTTTAAACCTTTAAATGGTTTCTTTCTCCTGTGGGATACAGTCATTTGACAGGATGTGTCAATGTGTAGCATAGGGGTAATGTTATTCTAATATGTAAATCAAATCAGTGTAATAATGGTGTAGTATGGGTGTAATGGTGTAGTATGGGTGTAATAACGGTGTAGTATGGGTGTAATAATGGTGTAGTATGGGTGTAATAACGGTGATGGGTGTAATAACGGTGTAGTATGGGTGTAATAACGGTGTAGTATGGGTGTAATAATGGTGTAGTATGGGTGTAATAATGGTGTAGTATGGGTGTAATAACGGTGTAGTATGGGTGTAATAATGGTGTAGTATGGGTGTAATAAGGGTGTAGTATGGGTGTAATAACGGTGTAGTATGCGTGTAATAACGGTGTAGTATGGGTGTAATAACGGTGATGGGTGTAATAACGGTGTAGTATGGGTGTAATAACGGTGTAGTATGGGTGTAATAACGGTGATGGGTGTAATAACGGTGTAGTATGGGTGTAATAACGGTGTAGTATGGGTGTAATAACGGTGTAGTATGGGTGTAATAACGGTGTAGTATGGGTGTAATAATGGTGTAGTATGGGTGTAAAATACATGAAATATGGATTTGATAATATATTAATGTATACCCTTAATATATGCATCTCGTGCAATGTATCACAGGAGATGCAGAGATACTTGAAAGTAAGTCACATTTTGAAGACAAATTGAAATGTTCCATAGACATTAGATAATAGTAGACTCCTTTTCGAAATTATTTATATGAGCTTGCCCATTTGAGGGTTTATAAACTTTGGAGACGCATACCAATAAGCTATTTTACTATATTCGTTTGCAAGAAAAGCAAAGTTCTCTTCACCACTTCAGGATTGCACTGGGTGGGTAATTGATATTAAAGTGATCATATTTGTTGGTGAATGATTCCTTTAAAGCCTCAAAATGAGGGTGATTTTGTTATATGCAACGCTGTAATGCATAGTGTAAGTGAAAAGATTGCTTACAAACGCTGTATTGTAAATGAAAAGTAAATCTGCTTAGCTGCTGCTCTCAGTCACTCTTGAGCTTTGTTAATCTTTTCTTTTGTTTGGACTGAAAACTGGGGGATCAGAGGAAAGTCCCGCTGCAGCGGATTGGCTCATTTTATTGAAAACTGTAGAATAAGTGATTTATAATGAGCATAAAAGACTCTGCTTTTGGGACATGGCTGAATATTGTGAACAAATATTGAGTAGATTTACACCGTTTAGACAAATAACAGAATTGTATTCAAGTTTTTTAAGAGAGTAGGTAATTCCCAAATACAAAACTATCTGCTAAATGCATTACAAGTATCAAAATAGAAAGTACTGGTATTTTTTTTTTTAAAAGACATTATATTTTACATTACTTATCAACAGAGCATCTCCCATAAATCCTATAAAGTGTGTAATTTGATTAAGTAATCCAACAAAAAGCTCAACTGTAGTTTCTGACCAAACACAAACTGTCCAACAGAAAAATATTTCAGTCCTTTTGAAATGAGGATAAACCAGAAAAAACGGAAAAAAATACCAATGTACCGTCAGCAACATATTGAAGAGACTCTATTCTGCTGGGGGGGGGAGTGTGTGGGAGAGAAACCCCACTTTGGGATTTTAGCCTTTGCAGACCATTAACATGCACTTAAACTCATATAACACTACAGGAAAGGGAAAACCCCAGAAAGCATTATAGGGCCCCTTTAAATATTTAAACGTAACAGGAAGAGCCTGCCTTCCAACCACTGTCTCCGTAACAGAAAGTATACGAAAGTGCAATTGTGTACATTTACTCTGGGTCACAATTATAACAATTATGTGGGTGTCTTTAAGGATGAGGTGGTGCTGTACCTGCTTAGAGCTTGGACAAATGTTTCCAAAGATTACAAAATGTAAACCTGTCCTTTAACACCTCAAAAAAGTCAAAAGTAGCACTTTAGAGTCAGGAAGCTCCTTCATTCCTCACATCTCTGCACATTTTGATTGACTTGGAAAGTCAAAGGTCAGGAGGCTAACAAGACACATTCTCTCAAGAGTTTCTCCCTTTTTTAAAGTCTTAAAGAAAGTGTGAATGTCAAAGTTAACCAACCACTGTGAGCTCTCCTCATTAATCACACAGAAAGCAGAGGAACCAGGGGGAGCTGCCCTACATCACACACACACACACACACCTAATAAGGCTGCAGCATTACTCAACACGTCACAGCGCTGCGTGGCGCTGAAACAGGAGAACAAAGGCTGGAGTGGTGAGAGCGCACGATGCACAGCAGTGATTGTTTTATCCTGTGTGTATGTGAATGGCCCTGGAGGATATGCAGCGTTATTCAGGGCTTAATCTGACTTTATGCGATGACAGACAAGTATGGAGGGCAAATATTATGCCAGCTGTGATGCCGGCTGGTGTTCAGAGCAGCCAAGCTCAGAAACTCCGTCCAGTTTCATCCAGTGCGCTTGTTTTCCTTTATTAAGCAGTGTGTAAACGCCAGCCGAGACAAAGTAGTTCCCTAAAATTGGACTACATGAGCAGGTATTCAGCATGACTAATAAACGTTGCAGTGTTATGTAATTGGAAACGTGCGCTGCATATCTCCATGACCTCCAAATTTGGTGATTTCATGTTCAGACTGCGGATGAAACGTTCTCAAAATCCAGGCTGAAAAGATAAAAAATGCACAGGCCAAAAAAGGTTATGTTGTCATTTGAGGGAGGAATTTATTTCCTGGACAGTATAGGTATGTTGCGTCAGACAGTTGAGTTAAAAATCACAACACTTTTTTTTGGCAGATTGGTCTCGGGATAAAGATTTTCCAATGAGATATTTGTTGGAAAAGGAACAAAAATGGTTGTGTGATGACAATCAAATCTAGATAAGAAGAAAACAAAATGAAATAAGCCAGTCAAGAGAGATAAACCAGTGCTGAAATAGTATTTTTATTAAATACTTTCAAGATCCAAGTTTGAAGAATAACAAAGCTATGATGAAGACCAACTAACACTCAGACAAACACTTGATAGTCGTCAATTCATGGTTGTATTTCATTGTACATCATGATCATGCAAAAAAACTCCAGCATCCATGTGAAGGCTGGGGGAGAAAGCGCAGCCCAATAGTATATCATTACAACGCAGGGAAAACGCTAACATCGAGGGCCTCATACCAAGCTACGGCTCCTGAATCATTTTTTTTTACAAATTTTGCGTTTTTTTTAAATATTTGTCATGTCACTTATTCAACATTCTGGATGGAGAATATTCTTATTTCAAAAGATGCAAATATCATATATTAACACTAGGCTCCATCCTTATTCAGGTAGGTACATGGTAGAAATGCGTAACTGAAACATGCATATAACTAGGTCTCTGGTTCAACAGCAGGTCACACACACCTGCACACCCACACCAACTCTCCCTCCCTCTCTCTCTCTCTCTCTCTCTCTCTCTCTCCACTGAGCAGGCACCTTTAAAACCACCTAGGGTAGATTACATTAATAAATAATTTAGTCCTGATCATTCCCTCATTCTGTTAATTTGTGTTGTCTTGACTTCCTCCCTCTTTCCCTTTTTTATCTTTTAAATGTTTATTTTTTTCTCTGTGTTGCGAGGGAGAGTGCAGAACTCCAGCTTGGCAGCTCGGCAAATTACCAAACGACAAGTTAACAGGAACAGCGACGACGACAGATAAACTCAAACCAGTAACACGGGAACAGAGAAACGACAGAGAGAGGTACAAATAAACATCTCAAGAGCAGGGGGCTCGTTAGTACACGTGGGGGAGGATGGGGGGGAGAGGAGAGGGAGATATCGGAGGGGGGAGGGTTTAAGATACGACTGTCGCGGATGGATGGAGACAATTAAGCAGCACAGCAAGGGTGGCACCGTGGTCACACAGCAGTGGTGCAGATATGTTACAAAGCCTAAAACACACCACCAGGCGTGTGTGTGTGTCTGTGTGTGTGTGCGTGTGTGTGTGTGTGCGTGTGTGTGAGTGCATATGATATAAAGAGAGGGCTCACAGCATTATGGGATCAGGATGACACAATGAGGAAGGTCTTCATGTTTAAAAACTATTTTTCGGGCTTTCTATTTCTTTGACTCCCCGTCTTTTGAAACAGTCTTACGGCCACGGGACTGGAGCTGCTAGCCCACACCAGCGTTTATTTTGTATTTGTCGTGAATGATTAAGAGTTTCTAAAATGTAAAGGATGAACTTTAAAGGACGAGAACTAAAGCAAATTTAAAGAAGGTGAGGGAAATGTTCCTAAGCTAGATGGGGGTCACAGAGGTCATGGGGTGGTTCCCAGATGCACAGGATGAGTGTCTCTTAGATACATGTACATATATTACACTTTTCTACATATATCTATACATACACTGTATTTACACAGTGATTATAAACAAACCCTTGCAGTAAAGCAGAGAAAAGGAGAGGGTTAAAAGAGGGAATGGTTTAAGAGGGAGAAAAAAGGAGAGTGGGGGGGGGGGTGAATGAGGGAGAGGCGGCGGGCAAACATGCAAAACGCAGACGCCTTCCCCGGGCCGCTCTCTCCCCCCACTGCATACAGACAACACAACGTGGTCACACGTTAGCTTTAAACTTGCACAATTAAAATCCCTCTTTTTTTAAAACGCAGCTGCTTTAAAAAATAAAATGAAATGAAAGGAGCCTTGAATATAACATCAGTCAGACAAAAAAGAAAAAGAAAGGCTCCGGTTATTCACAGGAACGCAAAGGGAACAGGACGTTAAAAA